ATACCCACACCCATATTGACACCCACACACCCATACCCATACCAACACCCACACACCCACACACCCACCCCCACCCCCACACCCACACCCCCACCCACACCCACACCCACCCCCACACCCACACCCACACCCACACCCACACCCACACCCACACCCACACTTTGAATGAGATGGAGGAGGAGACTATCGGTATGAAAATTTTTCTTTTTTGCTTTCTATGTACAGGTTGTTTCTAATGTAAATTTTACGTTTCGTGTGAAACAGATTTATTGAAGCATATGTGTCTTCTAATTTGTGTTGTTCGTTGACAAACGATCGTTTTTTATCTTTTTCTTCTTATCATTTCAGATTTTTTCTCAAGAGCCGAATATTTCAGCCGCTGAAATCAATAACTCAACCATGCGGATCTATTATGTCTTCAAAAATGAGGGCCATTTCTATGCAGCACACAAGCCAATTTCTCGTATGACAACTGAAAGTGACGCGAAGAACGACCAGTTGGAACTACTGCACATTCACATGTCGAAAATGAAGTCTTTCTTCTTCAATTACAATATACATCCCTTCATTAAACGTTGCCCTCCTCCAAACATGGCACGCATTACTAGAAACGGCACCATGTCATTGATTACTCATTCACAGAACGCATCCGTAGCCTTCATTGCTCGATTTCTCGGTATTCTCTTACAATAGCCTCAAGAAGCCATCATTGTGAGTCTTTTAAATGCCTTCTTATTTGCGTCGATACTTTTCATGGGAATAAGTATAGTTCTCCATGTCATACGAAAAGAAACTATCATTTTCCCGTTGTCCAATGGTAAGCCTTTTCCGTTTGTCATTCATCTTGATGTTCATAGTGGAGATCATCTTCCCATGTTTCATATATGTATGAATCTGGCAGATATTATTCCACGTCAAAAGGTGCATTTTGGTGATGTGAAAACAATCCAGCAACAGGAAATAAGGACTTCTAAATGTTTAACGCTAATGAAGTTTTCCCGAAATCGTCCTCTTGTAATTTGATTATATTTGGTTCAATGGCGGCAAGAATTCATTGTGGGCATGAGATTGGTGCTCATCTATATTTTCTGTTTCGGTGAAAAATATACATAATTTTCCAGTTCTGCTTTGCATCATTCTTTGTCGCATTCGCCCGCACTCCATATTGTATCTTACATGTTTATTATCAATAGATAAAATTTCATTGAACTTCAAGTATTCTGTTTTATATTAATGTAGTTGACAATGATTCTGATTCTGATTCTAGGTACAGTACCTCGAAAATGTTAACTACCCAATGCCAAATAATACCCACGATTAACTATTTCGAGGTTGGCCATGATAATCCAATCACAAACATGTCAATAGTCAAATATGTATGATTATAACGTACTCATGTTTCCAACGACGGTATAACTTTGAACACGAAACTATGTGTTGATTCTTTCTGAAGTTTTCTTGTAGCCAGCAATGTTCTATTTGTTATCCTTCTATAATTTAGAATCATTTAATTACAAATGTACTACTCTTGTGAACGAGTCATGATCAATATAACCAAATGATTTCGACAAATGGCATCATTCAATCAAAATGCCAGTGTTCACAACGAACAATTCGACTGTTTTTCTTCGGTAAATTAGAATGTTTTTCTCATTTATTCTTGATGCTCTTCATATAGAATTCTCCTACGTGGCAATCAAGTTAATGTGATGTCTTGTCGAATGTCATCCGATAACCGGTCGATCTCATTTAGTTTTCAATAGTTCATGATTCACTTGAGAGTGGACTACATGCTCGGGAGCATTCATGCTTTCAGAACAAATCACACAGTACATAGAATAGAAGACATTTGGATGATTTTATTTCTGAAAAGTGTCCTACTAAGAGAAAAAAGATGCAGCGAAAGACAAATATTTGTCTGATTTGAGGATGATTTATGAAATTAGTTCGACTTAATTTCGAGGACTTCATTTCAGATTTTTGTCAAAAATATGAAGAAAAGTGCAACGACTTGTAGCTATTTATTTCTGCTGGATGGTGATGATCAATTGAACTCGCTTACGATGGTTAGTACTCGAGTGAGCAAGTCGACACCATCTCTACTAAACATGTATCTTACGGATTACACAACAAACGATGCGAAATGGCACGTACAATGGAATAAATTACAGGACGAAAAACTTGAATGGATAAAACGCAAAGCTCGACTCCATCGACAACAAGAACAAGACGATTTCGATCGTGTTATGGAGGAATATCTCTGGCATGAGCTCAATGAATTAGAAAGATTGGAAGAACAGCAATACATTTCGATTGAACAGAAACTGAAACAACAACTAGAAAAAGAGCGCTCAATGGTCGACAAGAAGAATGCAACTGATTGGAATAGCATCCAAGGTATTTCAAATTTGAAAGAAGAAAAACGAAATGTACAAGACATTGCTACATTGGAAGACGATGAAGACGTAAACATTTAAAATTGTTGTCTCTTTCAACAACAACAAGATGGTGAGTTATGCATTTCAGACAGAAATTGATTTATCAAAATCTCGGTCGTTTTCTTTTTCTTTTCAAATTGATACTGTCTCTTTTCAGATCGATACTGTCGGAAAACAATGGCATACAACCGATATCCACGGGGTTGAACAAATAGTATCCATCATCCACGAATTGTTTGAATGGATCATTGAATTTTAAAGTTTCTTATAAACATATAATTGAATAAACCTTGTTCACTTCCTTTACACCAACTCTATATAAAAATCATTAGAAATCCTAATCAACATTCTCATTATTCCAGATAGATCATCACTCTCTTCTAATTTATTCATCAGCGACAATTCTTAGTCTTCTTATTAATCTTCAAAAAAACCTATCATTCGATGGCAACTACGACACAACCAGTGAGTGACTTTCTTCAATATCCTTCCTAGGGTGGGTGTGGGTGTGGGCGTGGGGTGTGGGTGTGGATGTGGGTGTGGTGGGTGTGGATGTAGGGTGTGGGTGTAGGGTGTGGGTGTGGGGTGCGGATGGATGTGAGTGTGCGGTATGGGTGTGTATGGGTGTAGACGACGTGTGAGGGGTGGAGTGCCACTCTCCATGCTTCCGATCACACACCCATACCAACACCACCACAGCCACACGCACACGCACACCCCACACCCACATCCACACCCTCACCCACTATTTTTGTTTTTCTAGTATGGCTAATCTTCGTTACGTAATATATATTATTACGTCTTTTCTTTTTGTTGTTGTTGTTATTATTTTTTATTATTATTATTATTATTATTATTATTATTACTATGTTGTCACAAACATTGTTATGGATTGTTCAATGTTTATTTAGTATATAATAAACATTATTTTGATACTTAATCAATAAAATCATTTATAAATTACGTCTGCACAAGTTAGGGTAGGCGGTTTTCACAGTGAGCTCTCATTTTATTAGTGTCGACAACATCCCCTCTCTGTTATTTCTAAGTATACCCTTTATAAATAGTATATAGCTTAGCTTTATTGAAATTAGAAGCTCACAACACTCACACTCACACCTACACGCTTGGGTGTCATTTTCTGACCCTTTTTTAGTTCTCGCTGAAAACACAGAACGATATACAGCTCTACATTTTCCGGCTAGAACCTTTTTAAACTCTGGATTTTTCGGCTAGAACTAAAAAGAAGGTTCAGAAAATCGTCCTCAAACGTAGAACATTAGAAGGTTCAGGATCTCGCTAAAAACTCTAAATAGTTCCTTATGAAACCTTTCTTTTTTAAAGAGTAGTGTAACGGTCTCGGTTGAGTACATTGTATACATGATGTTTGAACTTTTCTTGTTGTTTCTTCCCATACTATGTATTGTTCTTATTTTTGTGTCCTTACGTCGTATATCATGTTTGTGCCAATAGGCATCTTATCTTATGTGATATCTTTTCTTTCTCAGTGTATTGCTATGCAATTAATGATACGCAGTGTTCATAATCGAGTTACTCTTACGTTTATCTATGCATGATTGAACCTTCTATTCATTTTTTTTTTTTTATATTTATTTTTATTGTGCCTTTTATCATGGTTCACAGGTTATAATAAGAAAGAAAACGTAAAAAAAAAAAAAAAAGACTAGAGAAAGTACTTGGTATCATATCAGTCTATTAGCACCACATCCTCCAACGCCCACCAGAGTCAACACTCCACGACAATGTCAAGAAATGGAGTAGTAGAACAGACTGTATCTTACAAAATATCTGAATCGAGAGAGAAAAGCGAGATTGTAACATCATTTAATGAAAGAAAAAGAAAAAGAAAAAAGAAAAAAAAAATAATAATAATAAGATGGCAGAGTTTACTTGCTGATACATAACTTATAAGAGAGAGGATATAAAATGAGAGAGATGGAAAAAAGAAAAAAATTGGTATAAAATGGAAGAATAATAGACTGGTCAACAATAATACATTGGATTCTCGATAAAGTATTTGTATATGAATACGTAGATTTCTTTATTTTCTTTTGTATAATATTCATATTACTTGACATGGACATTTTCGAACACTAACCAATCTATCATAGTATGTTTAACTTGTAGACGTAATCGATTAAAAAACGGACTATGTTTTCTTACACCTAGTATTTTAAACCAGTTTTTATCGGGGTTAGTTATATTTAAATATGCATTCCAACTCATTTGGAATGCTAAAGCTTCATCAGCAGTAAGTAGATGAAGTACCAGTCGGCACCAATATTTATATATATAATCGTATAACGACTTTTCTCTTGTAAGAACAAGTGTTGTTATATCATCCCAACCCTGTAGGTCATAAACAATTCTTAAACCGGTGTAATAAACGTGAGCTACCTTCTCTTTTTGTCTTTCCATAAAGAAAAACCAGGTACTAAATAACCATATAAAATGCGGAAGGGCATATGCTAAATATATTCTTCTACGAGTTTTTACATCATTTTTCTTAATGGTTTTACAGATTATTTTCATAGCATTATGTATTTTACTTAGTGATGTGATTCTTTCGTTTATATATTTCTCTCATCCCAATTTTACTGTTATATGTACGCCTAAGTATGTAAACTTTTTTACATATTCAATTAGTTGATTTTTATAAAAGATTTTTGGGTATAACGGAGAAACTACATTGTGTACGAACATCGCTTTCGTTTTCGATATATTCACCGGAAGAATTAAATCATCAGAAAATTTCTCAAGCTGTTTCGTTACTATTTCTGCTCTATCTTCAAGTTCATTTATGTTCTTCGAAAACTTATTTTCGAGAGATCCATTTAAAACGAGGACCAGGTCATCGGCAAAGAGGTGAATTAAACAGCTTTTAAAATACGAAGGGAGAAAATGTATGTGAATACGAAGCAGTGTTGCTGCAATTACAGAACCTTGTGGTGCTCCTCTTTTCATTTGTACTACTCGGAATTTTTCTTCACCATAATGTACACTAAATGTTCTATTTTTTAACCAGTTGAATATCCACTTAAGTAATGGCGCAGGCATACTCAACTCATATAAATTCCTCATAAGTGCCGGGATCTACATTCGGTCGAATGCGGAGAGAAAGTCGATAAAAAGGGTCAAGGCAGGTCGATTATTAGCTGCTACTGTTAGTCTTAAGTCTTCTATCAGCGATATGATTCTGGTTTGTAAACGTCGCCCTTGTGAAAAACCAGATTGTTCATCAGTGTAAATGTTATTGTTTTTACACCACGTTAAAATCCTATTGTGTATTATTCTTTCAAAGCACTTCTCTAAATTTGGTAATAATGATATTGGGCGAAGTTGATCAGGTGTAGGATATATGCCTTCTTTAGGTAAACATATTATCTTGGCATGTTTAGCAGCGTTAAAAAATTCTCCTTTTTCTGAACATTTGTTAAATAAGACTGTTATTATATTTACTTAGGGTGTACCAAAAGTTCTGATCACGACGTTACATAGCCATATAGTAAGCTTAAAAAAAACTTTCTTTCTATATAGTCTAATAGAGAAAAGAGTGCTCTATTTTGCTATGCTA